GTGTTTTTAAGTGACCCATAGGAAATAATCTCAAGGATTCATATTAGATGATGGCGGGGGCCATTCGATAAAATCACACCTTTCAATCGATTTTTTGAAAAACTCATTATTTAGGTATGCCAACCTCAAAAACAAATAATATAAAATGTAATTTTTATTATACCTGTTTGTAATGGGATATAACTTTATGGATTCAATTACTATAAATTTAACACACTTTTCAAGTAACATTATCAAATAATTACAAATATAAATATTGGTACCATCTTAAAATAATTTCTTCATCTTATCTCAATAGAATAAACACAATATCTCAATTACTAATAAATACACAATTTCTTTAATTTGATAGAAATAAACCAGCGTGAAATGGCTAATAGTTTTCAATGAAAAATGCACAAATACATAGATAATCAACTAAATTACAAGTTTAAGAATAAATTACACGGTGCGTATAAATGAAAGATTTTATTAAGGCCATTCCTCGCGATTCTGGGCATAACTAAATTCCAATGTAAAAGTTTATATCAAATAACGCAAAAACTATGGCAGATATTGAGATGATTCTTTTTTTATATGAAAGGTCTTAAAAAGTTCTAGTGCACTATTTGATTGTAAATTAATAAATTGTTTAAACAATATTTTTTTTTTTAATATTTTTGGTTAAAATAAACGTAAAATTTTTTTTTTTGAAATAGGGCACTACAGAATTTTACCCACTTTCCGAATCTGTTTTTATTTTTAACATAAAGTGTAAGACAAAGCAGCTATTTCATATAAACTATTAAAAAATGTTAAATTGTGCTAAATGTACTCTCTCTCTCGGTCAGTACAAGCTGTCCTTGTTGATAGTTTGTAGACTCTCGCCGACGAGTAGGTAAGAAAGTTGGAGGGTCATAAATAATGTTGAATAACATTATTAGGGCTTATTTCGACTTTTGACTAGTTTTGACAAACCAGTGTGTTTTGTTGTTTTTAAAATGGGTAGTTCGCGAAGACGTTTATGCTCCGGACGAAAAAGTCGACGACGATTGAGGAAATTTTATATAAATAAGCAGTAAGTACCTATAATTTGATTAAATTTTTATATGAATAGAAATATTTTCTGTTGAGTTGTGACATTTTCCTTCTAAATGCTTATACTGTTTTTATAATAATACTATTGTTTCAATATTTACTTACATAATTATAATTTATTATGTAGAAACAGAGTAGAATTTTGGTCAATCGGTCAGTACATTTTTTTGTATTTCAATCAGAATTATTATTTTCTTTTCTTCTTTACATGAGCTCAGAGTAATACCCAAATAGTTTGCAGTATTTGAATATGGAATTTGATTAATTATATTTATTGGACTATTTATTTTGAACGTTTTTGTTAGTAAAGTTTACATAATATATTTCGTCACTTGCTTGTCCAGTCATATTAGTCCAGAGTAATAAGGATTTTCTCGTGACAATCAATAATCCAGGTAGCTGACAACTATTTTAGTTATGGTAGACATATAAGAACAAAACCTACCTGTTTCCTGTCTAAAGTTCGGAGCCGTTTTTTAATGATTTAATGTAATGCAAGAAACGCGATTTTTTCCACTCATTAGAAAGCTAAATACTTGACATAAAATTACAAAATTTTATCTTTTAGAATATTGACAAAGCTTCAAAATGCTGATTTTTGTAAGTTGAAAAGTCAATTTGTTGCTTTACAAACTGCAAAATAAGTGACAATTGATATTCGTAAAAAACTTTGAATACAACAACTTTACTTTAGAGTTCCAGCGAAGGTTGGGTATTGGGATACTTAACAAACCCTCAAAATTTGGAACGATATATTAATCAGTTTAAAAGTTTTTGTATTTGTTTATCCCAGAGGTCTTTTTTACAATAAAAATAAGACAGAAAATATTAAAGATAGGGTAATGCTGTGGGCGACAAATGAAAGCAAAAGATACTATCAATATGTATTAAAAAATGATAAAAAAATGATTTATCATAATCAAAAATCCTGATGCCAAATTTTTGATTTCATGTATTCAAATTTCATGTATTCGTGATCTGACATCCTAGTAATGTGTCCAGCCCATCTAAGTCTCTGAGACGCTATACTCCATTTTCATTTACGACCTCAAAAATCTTTCTAAGAATGTTTCTCTCAAAAATACCAAGAAGTCTTTCATCATTTTGAGATAAGATCCGCGTTTTAGTCCCATATATCAAAATCGGTCTTATCAAAAAGTTCTTGTATATATCGAGCTTTACTGCACGTTTTATATTTTTATTTTTTAAATGTTTCTGGAGACCGTGACCAGTTCTGTTTTCTATTGCTATGCGTCGTTTTATTTCGTTGCTTGTCGTGTTTGTTGCGTTTACTAGCGATCCAAGATAAGTGAATTCTTTGACTTGCTCAAAGGTATGGTTGTTAATTTAAATTATCTGTTGGAAAACCAACCTATATTTGGTTTTTCCTCATTTACCATTTCTAATTAGGACCACAAGTCCTAATTCACTTGCCGCGTCCGCAAGCCTTGTAAAACACTGCACCATGTCTCTTATGGTTCTATTAAAAATAGTTACATTCATTATAATATTGTATTTTCTGGTTGCCTTTTCCAAGGCAACATTAAAGAAGAGACAAGCCAGCGCCTCCCCCTGTCTTATACCATCATTAAACGTCAAAGCACATGGAGTTTTCTCCTTCAATTCTAACGCACGAACTCACGTTTTACATTGTTAGTTGGGTCAACTTAACTAACTTCGGTGGGATCCCAACCAAAGTCTATCATTGCTTAACACTGTCATAGGCTGTCATAACGTGTATCTATGTTATATTCTAGTGACTTTTCTAGAATCTGCCCATGTGTTTGAATTTGATGTATAGTTGATTATGCAGCAGTAAATCAACAATATCCTTTGTAAAATGTTTGTCTTTCAAACAATACATTGCCGAAGATTTTATACGCAGATGCTAACAGAGTAATGCCTCTATAGTTCTTACAATCCAGCTGATAGCCCTTTATGCAACGCATATTATTTCATTTAGCCACTCTTCTGGTACCAATTCATTCTGCCATATAAGTACTATTAGTTTATGGATTACTGCAAAAAGTTGATCATCACCTTTTCATACATATCCCAGCAGATTTAATCGATTCCTGTGGCTTTATTTACTTTATGTTTTAAGACGGCATTTGACACTTCTATTATTGTTGGGTCTTCACTATGTAGTTGACAATGTAGATTTTGTTGATTGTCTATGTTGTAACCTCCTTCAATATCGTGTATATAATGTATTATATAAATAGATATAATATGATATAATAACAATGTACCTATACTCGTAATATGATATAATCCGTATAAAACGTCTTCCGATGTCCATTTTTCATTGAATTCGGTTGTTCCATTGTTCTTTAAGTACTTTCGAGCGCATTGAGTTTTTTATTCGTTCCATCCGTGTTTTCTACGGTAGTCCTTTCTTCTGGATTCCTGTAGTTGTTCATAGATGTACTTGTTTCGGGAGTCTACTGTCTTTCATTCATTGGACATGTCCGTACCATTTGAGATGCCTTCATTGTATGCCATCCATGACTGTACCTTCTATTCTCATACTTTATTGCATCCATTTCAGCGACATATCTTTCTTCGATGTCTCTGTTAATCGTCTCGTTTCACAACCGTGTAAATAAAAGCATGCTTTTTACGATAGTTTCATGGGTTCTAGTTCTAGAGAGAGCATGTCAGCTGAGCCAAAACGAAAAACAATCCTCCTGATTGCTTCCACTGGAATAAACTTGATTGTTTAACTGGGCCCGGACTACCTTCTTCTAATTCTTTAAACTCCCGTTTTGAAATTAATAATAATCGTTATTTTGTCTCATTACCTATTTAGTTGTCAAGACAGATACATTGTTACCTAAAGAAGTGAAAGTGGTTCAATTTAGAAATTATATCGTAAATAATAAATATTTGAAAACTAATGCATATATTCCTCCCGCGATTTGAGCTACTAATTTAATAAATCGCACCACTAATAGACGTAAATCCCTTCATTTTAATTTCATGAATGATTTTATTCGCCACATCTCAACATTTTCCATTTCAGAATATTTATCATCAAACTGTAATATACGTTAAAAGCCAATTTGTCAGCAAAAAAACAATAACAAAAAAAAATATAAGACATAAAAAAACCAATACACTTATATCTTGTTATACATTATTTTGTTATAAAATTTTATAAAAGTTTGTGATTTAATTTATGCATTATTTACAGGACGATTATTTGTTACCTGTATGTACCGTTGCTAAGTTGTAAATTAATTATTCAATAAATAATATTACTCTGGTTTACTCGTATTATTCTAATTACCCCATAATCGCAATGAATAGAAGACCTCCCGCTCGCTTTATTGTATACACCCAAGACTTCACAATAGGGGATTGTAAGTAGGTAAAAATATAAAATTTAGTACCAGATGACTTTTAGAATATTCTTCGTGAATGGATTTTGTTTTCGTAAAGAAAGATATTTTTGAAATAGATAGCTCACTGAATTTTACCGTTAGGATTATCGAGGATAGGCCTTAAATAATTTAGAAATAGAAAGCTCATTTATGTTGTAATCAAAGAAATAATTTCTCCCGCTTTGGCTTTCACGTTAAAAGTACATTTTCTCGCTTGAGATACGCGCTGCAATATTGCACAATTAAACTGATCTATAATATTGCACAATAATTGTACGCGCATACAATATGTTTATATTAGAAAAGAGAAATTTCGAAATTTGTTAATAATAATAAAATATAATTATTAAAATACATTTTTCTTGAAGTCTAAAATTAATAAAATTTACGCCACCTATGACTGAAAATCTACAACGAATTACAGAGGTTCCACGCACGTAAGCGAAACCTGTAATGCTCTCTATTTAACGTACGAAGAGCACTCGCTAGGTGTCACCATTGTTTCACCTTCCATTTTATTTGTTTATTTTTATTCATAACAATGTCTGAAAGTTCAAGCGATGAAGAAAAATCGGAAAATGTTAAGAATGAACCAAAGTATAACCCGCAATTAGACTTTTGTAGTGATCAATTTAATCCCCTTTTGGTACTAAATACTCCAAATGTCCCTGTACCGTGTACGAGTGCTAAAAGGTACGATAATTTGGCTTCATATCAATCGGCAATAAATAAAGCAAATAACCCTGAACAGTACGCAAAAAAGAGTGAACAAATAAAACAAGATACTGAAACAATCGTAAGAAGATGGAAAGAACATCAATGTAAGTAACAAGTAATTAAGATAAGTGATTAGTGGCTATGGTAACTGGATACATAACCTCACAAATCAGCATGCAATACTGCTGTGTAAATATAGTCAAATTAGATTTTTTCGCTTAAATCATTATATTTTGATAAATACCAGGTCATTGACTGCTGTTTCGCATTTGACTAACACGTAGATTAAATAATGTACTAAACAACATAAAAATATATATTTAGTGAATCGCTTATTATTGTTTAATTAACAAATTGATATTTATTTCTAAAATTGAATAAACATAAAACAAAAAACATTTTACAAGGTCAAATATTTAATAAAGAATATTACTGTAGCTTTGTGATCTTTTGAAAAATAAGTATTGTATTATATTTGCAAAATATATAATATAAGTATGAAAATTACAGGTTAGAGGCTGCATTAAAAATTAATAGAGCAAAAAAGTGAGTTGTTTTTGACATTATATGTAGAAATAAGTAGCTTATAACAACACTAACATCTGCATAAATACAACTAGATTGATCATTGAATATACTGCAACAAAAACGATAAATAAAAACCCTAAGATGTATGCCGAATAAGTAAATAAACTATTTCCACAAATAAATTAAGTAATAGGACATTTACTATACCTGGAAAAAATATAATCTCATATAAATAAATTATTCAATAAACAAGGAAAAAGTGGTGTATACACTTACAGTAAGAAGGATAAACTAGAAGGATAAAGTAAGTAAATCATCAGATAAAGAACAGAAATTTTGAAAAATGACTAAAATTATATAAACAAGCAGTTTAATAGTTCTATTAAATGTAGATTATCCTACAGGGTACAATTAATTTGATTGTTTTAGAATAGTTCTTCAAACTTCTAACAAGAATATATCAGTTGGAAAACCTGAAGTGGTTGAACACTACATACAAAATATAGGAGCAGTGGATGCTGTAGATCAAGATATTGAGCCCTATGATATTACTAGAAAAAGTTACATGTGGTTCAGAAAAGTCGGTTTTCATGTTCCAATGCATAGTACTAAATTCAAAAACCTTTTATACAATTATAACAAACAAATTAGTTTAGTGGATTTTAAGAAACAGTTACTGAATATCTTATTTCAAAAACATTCATTGTCTTACCAAAAACTTAAAAAGCTTATAAAAATTCGGCTATAGAAAAATCTTACATAAGCATGTTATGGCTTCTCAGTAAAAGAAAAAGTAACAAGAAGAAAAAAAGTGTTGTAAAGTCTGTTCCGCAAATGAGAAGAAAAGGAAAGTAAAATCAAATATTTGTTGAGGTTAGAATTTATTTCTCATTTTTATGTCACTGGTCAATATGCTTTTGTATAAAAATGTGTAAAACTAACACAAAAAATATGGAATTGAATCCAAGATACTCATTTTATGTTACAAATGTTAACAATTGTAATGAAAGGCAGATATTTTTTAGTTATTTATAATTTTTGTTTTTATATGGGTTGTCCCTTAGTGCGGTGCCTACGGCAAATTAATTCTTTCTTAAATAATAAAAAATGCTCTCCAAGGCACTAATAATTCAAACGGATCACGCAAAAACAATGTTTTATAAAAGTTTTATTTTTCACTAAATCTGGTATAAGTAATACTGTGCAACTCATCTTTAAGCCTGGTAGAGTAGGGGTTAAATGTTTTTTTCTTTTTGGATTTAATTTAAAGTTTGTGCAGTTGGTAATCTATTTCTTTATATTTTACTATATGTTTTCTTGAAGAAACAACTTGTGGTCTGATCCACAGATGGTGGCTGGTATTGCTTTGACATTGATTACTGATCTGATCCAGAGTTTAGTTACAAGCATAAAATCTATTTGATTTTTCTTTTCTTCTTTCAATTGAAGACCATGTCAATGCCTCTGTGATGTTTGAAAATTGTGGTCATTATACTGAATTCAATGTAAATGAAGACCTGAAGAATCTGTTCTACGCCTAGCATCTTTTACTCCTACTAGGAGTAGTCTAAACTACCTTCTCATCATCATTTCTACTTTCTAGATGTCCCGTCCATCTAAGTCTCTATGCCTTGATAAATCTGACGATGTCTTTTCCTTTAATAAGTTGTCTTACTTCGTAGTTCATTAGGTTTCTAAATTCATTATTACCTAAACTATTCTCCGAATAATTTTTCTCCCTAAGATCCTCAAACCCTGAGTAACCCTCTTATCTTTGAGGAAGTTTTTCCAGTCAGTTCTGTTTTTTGCTAGATTTATTTCATTTACATATGTTTCTTTCATTGGTTCTATTAACGGAAACTCCAAGTTACTTAAAGTGTTCTACCTTTTCAAACTCTTATTGCCCACTATTTAACCTTATTGCATTAATTGTACTTTTTATTTAGCATACAGCTCTAGGTGAATGACTGTAGCGACAGACAAAAGAATGGAAAAGGGTTGGGCATGCCTATGTCCAAAGATGGCCCGAAGAAGGCTGATTAGATAGATAGATAGATAGATTCTTTAGCATATTAGGTATTTTGTTTTATTTTGATTTACCAAACCCCTCTTGGATGCTTCCTTGCACAAGTACGCAAATTCTTGTTTTACACTGTTTAGATTTCTACTAATCAATGCTATGTCGTCAGCGTACGCCACAAGTTGCGACGTCGATGTTATAATTGTACCTTTCATTTCAGTACCTCTTAGTGCTCCTTCTATAGCGACGCCAATAGAGAGTCGCTCCGTCGTACTCCAGTTGCTATTTCTATATTTTTTTAGATGCCGTCATCTGGTATTATTGCTGCCGTCGATTCCTCCATTGTCATTTCCGTAAGCTTTATGAATTTCATTGGGATATCTAGGTTTTCATGTCTTCTATTAGGTCTGGTCTTATTAGGCTGTCACATACTTGCTTCAAATCTATGAAAAGGATGTGTAAGTTAATATCATGTTCGTAACACTTCCCAATTGACTGTGTGATTACGTGTATTGTGTCTATTGTTGACTTTCCCCCTCTAAATCCCTACTGGTATTCTATTTTAGTATCAATGTATTTTGAGAATCTTTATCTGATATTAATATTTTGTAGCAGCTGTTTACCAATGTTATTTCTCGATAGTTGTTACATTGTGCGGTGTACCCTTTCTTTAAAGTAGGAAATATCTACCTTGTTTTCCATTCTTCGGGCATTCTTTTTTCTTTCCGAATCCTTATTACTGGGTCGTATATATTTTGTTGCAGTTCTTCTCCGCCTTGTTTTATTAGCTCGTTTGGAATTTCATCTGAGCCTGCTGCTTTCTTTTGTTTTAGATTTCTTATCACACGTAAAAAATCCTTATATGACGGATTTTCGATTTCGTTTTTTTCATTAAGGTACTTTCTCTAGTCTTAAATAACCCTTCGTAATGTTTCTCCCATATTTTGACATCAATTTTAATTGTTGGTTTTTTCTTGTTTTAGGATTTTATATATTTATATAGCTTTACATTACTAAACTACCTTACCGTTCCTTCTAAATGGTTGTCTGCTTTTGTGTCTTCCTGTATCATGTATGAAAGTTTCATGTATCAGGTTTCTAGTATAGGTTCTCTTGACTATGTTATTGGCATGTATGTATGTATGTATGGGTATGTGCTATGTGCATATTTACTAATTTTGATTTTATGGTTATCTCGATGGTACGATCATTTGCTGGGAGGTATCCATAAGAAATGACACATGCTAGAAATTAGTGAAACAGAAAATCTATAAAGAAAATGGCTAGCAAGATATTTTTATTCCTTTTTTATTTGTCTCCGTAAAAATCCCGGCTAACAAATACATATTCTGTTTTAAAAATATCCTTAATCATGTTTTTCTCTTCTCTATATCTCATAATTGTAAACAACTATTATGATATCCTAACAATTTTTACGTAATAGTCACTAAGGATAATATTTCCTTATTTGGCGTAGAAAAAACTCGTTTAATCAATTTTGTTCTTGATTACACGATCCTCACATCAACACGTTATAAGGTATTAAATGTCGCATGTTCCATGTGTTTCAAATTAGAGGACCGTCTATTTTTCGTTTATATTTTTATTCATTGAAAGCAAAGCCGAGCGACTCGTAATCAAAAGTGCAGTGAAACTATCATATTCATTACGATTACACTAACACACATGCCTCTATTCTACAGAGACTCTTCGAAATTTTGTCACGAGCTATATTTTATTTTATTTTAATTTCTTCTAAAATGTTTTCTCGTTTAATAAACAGAAACAGTTACTTAATAATCTTGATTGAGCACTTAATATCTCTTATACGTTTTTTTAAATATGTAATAACTGTTATTTGTATATCTATCACTTACTACGCCGATTTTTGATTCTCAGTTTGTTTGTGCTCTCAGATATATTTTAAACTTCCACCCCCCGCTATCACCCTCTGTCACTTTTTCGCTTATCCGATATAATATCACCAATATAATGGATTAATAATTTGAGTCTTTTGTTGGAGTTGCTTTTGGGCACCTTTGCATGAGATAAGGCTTTGGGCACCTTATGTCTTTAACGGCTTTGATCCTCACCTCAAATTCAATGTGAATTCGAGATTGGGAATAGCATCCCGTTTTTAGATATGCGAATCATTCGCACACAGAACAACACCTCAGGCACTAGTGGTACAGAAAAGAAATGACCAACAACCGTTTCTTAAATTACCGCTCATCACACCCAATCATATACAAATATAGCCTCGTACAAGCCCTCAGTCTTAGAGTACACACGTCTACACATCTGCTGTTCAAAGATGAAGCTTTTAGTCTACTGAAGGCTATTTTCATTGATAACTCCTATCCCATTTCTATCATTAATAAATATCTAGTTTCCAAAAGCTATGGACATTCCATTAAAGGACCCAATGGGTTAAAATTAGCGTCCATTTCTAGCAATATTCAGCCAAAAACTCCCCGTTACCCTAAGCTTACTAAACTCTTCAATAACTTACCGGTTAAAATAGCCTTAAAAACACCAAAACTGTAAGAAAGTTAT